AAAAAATATTTTTTTTGCCACTTGGCACACATTTGGCAACCACGTGGCATATATGTGGCAGCCACGTCAGCATTTAACTGATCCATAAATGGAAAATGTAACGGATGTATTATTTTGAAATAAAATAATACTTAAGGTATGAAAGTGAAATGTTTTAAAGATGTTGTAAGGAATTGAAATAAACCATAAACCTGATGTATGAAAATGTAATTTACTCATATTTCTTTTACTCTTAGCTATTAAGATTGAAGGAAACAGAATATTTTCTGATATCAGTACTGGCTAGGCAAGCACTCCCATGGTCCTCTACTTTAACAACGAAAAGTGAAATCCTACACACAAATGGAAGGAATCAAACAAAGACCATCGTCATAAATAGCTCAAGTTTTCTGGTAGAGGAATTCTCAAGCTTTTTCATCCACTACTAAACAGTATCTTCTCATGCTCAAATTAATTTTCAGAGAAATTTGCATCCTTTTGATTCAAAACTGAACTATTTTAATAAAACAATTTGCTACGAAAGTAATAGAAGACAGGGGTCCCCAGGGCTGTCGGAGAAAGAAATCGGACATGAACCCAGGATTTAGTGACAACCCAGAAAAGGAGAGTGACTTGAAACCAATTGGTCCCCCTCTTCTGTCCCCCTTTCAAGACAATTAGCAAATGCTAAAGATTCCAAACATTCAAAAATATTATGGTAGTTACTTCTGTGAGAATACTCATCATCAATCAAAATTTCTTTAGAAATTAATTAAAATGATCATAAATCAAATCCCAATTGTTGGCTTAATCAAAATTAAATATCAACGACATATCAATCAAATATCGACGACATAACGGTCAAATATTGATGACTTAACAATCAGATATCGATGACACACTAAAATTGGAATTTGAAAAATGATATTACTGGCCAATTTCCAAGACCTCTTTTTAATAATTACAATAAGATCGCTAAAGTACACAAATAAATCAACTTGTTTGTTTCTTCTTTGTAGGCAATGCACTGACTCCATACGCCGCAGCACAAGAACATCCTATATACTTTTGGTCCCAGTACATTGTAGGGAAGGGATTAACTTAAAAATCTCATATCTGCTTAGTCAACCTCTAAACCTTTTTATGTGTTTAATTCCCTCAAATCTTTATTTGTTAAGTTCCCTCAGCCTTTGTTTCCTGTGTTGGACTCCAAATTTCCGACATTTTAAGTTGTAACAGCAAAGATGAACATTTAAACATCAGATCGGTTTGCAACAAAAAATCTGGCACAAGAACCCGAACTTTTCAATCACAAACTTAACTCGCTCGGGATCTCAAAAAAAAAAAAAAACATAAGCGATCGAAAACAATGGTTCAATTTTGTATACACACATACACATAATCCAGAACAGGTAGGAAATTTTCAAGAAATGAATCATATAGATACTCTGGTCTTCAAGAAAAGAGGAAATTTTCAATTTTGTATACACGCAACTTAGCCTACATCATGCCTTTCAATTTTTCCACATGACAGTGGGTTATTTGGATTGAGATACCGCGAGAGTAGCATTCCAGTTACATGAAAGTCTTTTTCCAAGGAAGGAGGGGCATATATAGCATATATTCATCAACCAGGTAACTGGAAAGTATTATCAATAAAAGATATTTCAGTCCGAAAACAAACTAAGAATATCCCTGTGATGAAAGAATTAATAGAATTAATGCTTAACCTGTACATTGATCTTTTCTATTCGTGGAACTGTTCACGATTATGCTCCAAAAGTACATCTAAAGCCGGAAAACTACAAGTACGTACCTGAAAACATGGACGGCTTGAGACACAATCACTCTGTTGACAGGAGAGAGCGTAGAGTTTCCCATGCAGCTCCACAAGCAGGGGTTGGATGCTCCCCGTTCCAAGTAATTTCCCAAAATATGATTTCCGCCTCCAATTTTGATCTTCGAATTGGGATCCAAAGTCGGATTGGTCTCAAGTCCATAAACTTCCTTACTCAGAAATGGTCCATATGGATTGGCACGTGGAGAGAAAAAGTGGCGTTTCTTGCCATCGGCAAAAAGAATTTGAGACCCAAATACGACACAACCCAGGGCATAGAATTCACGTAGTGCAATTGACCATTGCCTTTAGAGCAACTAGGGCATTTTCTCGGATTCTTCTTGGCTTTGGAGCAAGTCCAACATTTGGCGCACGATTGCGAACATTAAGGCAGGAATATGATGTCGAATACAAATCACTCAATTTGATGGCGTAGACAACGTAAGAAAAGACTTCGCCCTTGTTGAATTGTAATCTTGTCTTGGCTCAAGACAATTAATCCGGCCCATACACAAAGAAAGATCCATGCACATGCTAGAGAGTTCTAGCAAAGTTCAAGTTGGTGGAAGAGTCTAGAAGAATGGTGAGGATTCCACCAACATGCAAGATTAGTGTAGATAATTCTAGCTTAGGAAAGTAGTGGAATTATCTAGATATCTCTAGCATGATGGTTCCATGCTTCACCAAGGTTCCATCCATACCTATAAAAGGAGAAGACATCCACACCATTTGTAACAACCAAGAGAACAAGTAGTAAGAAGTGAGAGTGTCAAGTAAGAAGTGTGAGAGTGTTTCCTCTTGTACTAAGTTTGTGAGTGAATAAAAATTTTTGTGTAATATTTTGAGTGTTCTTTCTTTCTCTTGCCTATCAATTCCGCTGCATTACATTCTTCTTTGTGAGATAAACATCTTCAAAGTAGTGAAGCATTTTTAAACCCCAACAGCCCTTCCACTCCATGAAACATATATACAAGGACTTGTCGTCCATATTCGACTTTGTTTGTACAGCAGCATCTTCCGTGCCTTTCTTCCGCACGACCATCCCGCCATTGCTGTCGCCTTCCTCCCCATTGCCCATGCCGCCGCCATTCTCTCCCTTGTACTTGCCGCCGCGCAGTCTGTTCATCTTGCTAATTGCCATTCCCAAAAACCCTAACTAGGTAGGTTTTCCCAGGATTTTATTAGGTTTTCTTTCTTTTCGCCAGGGAGCCTAGAGCCCATTGGTCTAAACTACATGTTAACACAGTTTAGTCACCTATAGTCTTGATTTAGGGGTGTAGTCAAACTCGGATTTGAGAGGATTTTAAAAGATTTTAAAATCCTAGTGTAGTCAATTAAAAATTTTTAAAGGATTTTAGAATCTATTCAAATTTAGGTGTAGTCAATTAAAAGATTTTAAAATCCATCCAAGTCTAAGTGTACTAAAAAAATAAGATTTTGGAGGATTTCAGTAAATTGTGGATTTTGTGGGATTTGAGAGCAAAAAATATATACAACCAAGACTAAAAAGAATCCAACCTCACCCCCTAGGATTTCAAATCCTTCCACCACAATTCTTTAAAATCCATATGAATTTTGTAGGAGTCTTTAATCCTATAAAATCCATCACTTTTAAAATCCTTTAAAATCTTAGTTTAACTATACCCCCCCTTAGATTTAGGTTATTTTGATTTTGATACTCCTCCTTCTTGTCCAATTAGTTTCATCCGTGAGAATTGACTTTGGATGTTTCAGTATAGATTTATTATTTAGTAGGTTTGTTATGGGCTCTTGCTTTTAGCCCCATTTTTCAACAAAAAAAGGCTTAACTGGGCGTAATAGTCTTCGTGGTGATGATGTAGTTGGAAGATTGCTCTTGTGGTAAAAAAAAAAAAACAAAAAAAAAAGGATTTAAGCCCTGTTGTGAAGTCTATTAGGATTTAGGGTCAAAATTGAAATTTTTGTTAATTCTCTGTTAATTGTTAGCACATGAGACTCATGTACTAATAATTAACAGAGAGTAATGAAAATTTCAATTTTGAGCTTTAATCCCAATAAAATTCACCACAAGGCTTAAATCCTAATGTTTTTTTACCACAAGCTTAAATCCTAATTTTTTACCACGGGTAATAATCCAATTAATCCTCTTTGTCATCCAAAAAAGAGCGAAAAAATAAATTAGTCTTCTACCACAAAATAAAATCAAGGGTAGCAAAGTAATTTTGCACACCTAAATTTTACAGTTTTTTTAATGTCTCACCTACCTATGATGTTAATATATCTCTAAATCTAATTTAAACAATACAAAATAAAAATTTCTCTCCCTACCTACTTCCACGTTCTCACTCATTCCCCTTAAAATAAAAATTGTTCACACACTAAATGTATAGACATACGCTAGTGTAAATTAAATCGAACATTAGTCCGGCAAACTTGTAGGCTATCTCCAACTATGGGCTATAAGCATACTTTTAGAGTTTTGGGCTATGCCTTGTGAATCCACAGTTTTTGTTTTGTTTTTATTTTTTATATTTTATCTCCACAGTTATAAATTTTTGAAATGGAATATCGGTCATATATGAATTTCCAATGCAATTACTTGCACCTCATATCATTTGTTAGTTGCCACGTTTGTGAATAAATTCTCCAAACCAAGGGGTTTCTAACTTATATTTTTGTGGGCCACTTTGTATTATAGTCTAGAGTTAAGTGATATTAAATTTTAAATTTGAATATCGCGAATTGTCAATTCAATACCAACTTATTCCTTCAACTCTTAATATAGATATATCGTTGTATAAAAAACTAATATTTTTGTGGACATATTCTTTCCTTTCGTTTCCTTGAATGTAATCTTATCCTCACTATATAAGATACAAATCTTGAATAGCTCCAAAATTGTTTATAACTTTAGCTATTAACGGATACACAATGTATTATAATTTGAAGTACAACTGGACAAGTGCATATAGACAGTGCATTTCATATCAACTCACTCGTGCCTTCGGTCTACAAACTATAAAATAACTAGACTACAAAGAAAGACGCAGCTGCGTAAATGTAATGTCACGCTTCAATGAACATAATGTCACAAAGCACAATACGTACGCTACGGCAATAGCTCTCTCTCTCTCTCTCTGCCTGTATATAACAACACCTCTTTCATATAATTTCTCACCAAAACTTCCACAAACAACTTAAAACTATGGCTTCAAAGTCCACGGCAATGTTCCTAGCATTGCTCTCTTTAGTGACACTAGTTCTGGCTCTCGGGGCTAATGCCGGTGGAATCGCAATATATTGGGGTCAGAATGGTAACGAAGGCACATTAGCAGAAACATGTGCTTCAGGGAATTACCAATTTGTAAACGTGGCTTTTCTCACCACCTTCGGCAACGGCCAAACCCCTGCAATCAACCTAGCCGGTCACTGTGACCCAACGACAGACGAATGCACCAAATTGAGCCCAGAAATCAAGTCATGCCAAGCCAAGGGGATTAAAGTCATACTGTCCATAGGAGGAGCTTCAGGGAGCTACTCTCTAACTTCAGCTGATGATGCAAGGCAAGTTGCAACTTACTTGTGGAATAATTTCTTGGGAGGGCAATCGTCGTCAAGGCCATTGGGAGCTGCCGTTTTGGATGGAATTGATTTTGACATCGAGGGAGGGACTGACCAACATTGGGATGACCTCGCAAGGTACCTCTCTGGATATAGCAAGAGAGGCAAGAAAGTTTACTTGACTGCTGCCCCACAATGTCCCTTTCCTGATGCTTATGTTGGAAATGCACTTAAGACAGGCCTCTTTGACAATGTTTGGGTTCAGTTCTACAACAACCCTCCCTGCCAGTACGCTTCTGGGGATGTGACCAACCTTGAAGACGCGTGGAAGCAGTGGACTTCAGCCATCCCTGCAGATAAGATTTTCTTGGGATTGCCTGCTGCACCTCAGGCTGCTGGTAGCGGGTTTATTCCTGCTACCGATCTTAGCTCACAAGTTCTTCCGGCTATTAAAAGTTCGGCTAAGTATGGAGGCGTCATGCTTTGGTCCAAGTATTATGATGATCTTGATGGATACAGCTCCTCCATCAAGAATGATGTCTAGAATTTTAAGAACAAAAGGATCCTTCCTTATTACCTTGACTATATCAATATGTATCCTATACCGAGTTTATGTTACGTCAATATAATACAATTAATTTCGAAGCTTTCTATTAATCTTGAGAAAAACATTCTAGAAATTGGATGTTCAAAAACAACTGATTCTGCTAGAAGTGTCTTAGTTATTAATTTGGTTGAATGTAATATGAAAATTGTCAATTTCGCCAATTGAAAACGGATAATATTTCCACTTATATTTCAAAAAAATTCGGAAATTCAACACTCAACGGAGAACTTGGATTTTTCATTTTCTTCACATATCTCATCTCTCAGATTTGATTAGCCAAACTAAAAAAAAGTTCTTTAAACAGGATCAGAAATTTTTAAATGTTCCCTTAATTTATTTGAAAGGTGAAAATTGAAATATCATATTAAAAACCAAAATTATCATATCTAACAGAACAACACGCAAGGTTATTCGAAATATTCATACGTAGTGATGACACATAATGATGTCAATACCTAGAAATATTTGTGCTGGTTTTTTGAAGTTATCGCCGTCTATATACTTTTGTCAGAGAATTAATTTTCAAGAAAATGATTTGTTCATTTGATAGTTAATCATATGACTCTGCAAGATGACCCAAGGTGCAAGAAATGATTTTGTTTGCTAGAAATCCACATTAAGTTTTCCCTTGCCACAACATTAACAAAGTAACAATAATAGAAATCACGTGTGAAATATTCAAAAGAAAAAAAAAGTAATTACTTGCGAACATGCGTGCATAAAAAAGGACTTAAAACACAAAGCAATCCACCATTTGTAAGAGTCAGTTTGTAAGTTTGAGAGTTAGAAAGCTTTTTGGGAGAGTCTTCTACGTTCTCATTTGATTTTGTTAGGATTTGTTAGTGGAATTTCCTCAACATGTTTCGCCTATAGACGCAAGCTTCTATACAAAACCGCGTAATCTCGTGTTCTATTTGAGATTGTTTGTTTTTAGTTTTTATCTACGACTTTAATATCTAGTATTATTATTAAAATCATTTATGTTTGAGATGGAAAATATTTGAACTCGAAATCTAAAGAGTTAAAGAGAAAAATCATAACTACCAGGACAATCATCCACTTGCCTTATATGTGTATACTTGTCAATCTAGAATTAATATGCCTTAAGTACAAGGTCCCCCTAGATCATAATTTTAGTTCCAAAATTTCAACTAGCAATTACATCACAAAATGGATAAAATGTTTGAAAGCAACAGCAATACTCGAGCTTTCAGTGTCAAAACCTATTTACATATGAATTTCAACAAATGGCAAGACCTATTTACAGTGTCAAAACCTATTTACATATGAATGATTGAGTTAAAGTTCATCTTGCCATTGTTTATATATAAACAATATAATGGCAAGATGAACTTTAACTCAATCATTCACCACAAGTTCCATATATCCATCCCCACTGATATATGGGTGTGAAAGCCACAATTTATTCTCATGCAAATAATTAGAACTACGTGTCGATATCAGCTCATAGCCTCTCATACCTTTCGGTTGGCCACCACTGAAGAACTCTGAACTCAGAGTCCAATATTGAAGACTACACCACACTGCATTCACCACGTGCCCCAATATCCAATTGCTCTTATCAGCCGACCAAATATTGGTGAAACTTTTGTCAATATTTAGCTCACCCACCACTATTTATACGTGTCATGATTTCTCAATCGTCTTCCATGCATGAAAGTCTTCCTCTCACTCTCAGTTTAACAAATAAATAAGACGCAACCACCTTTGTTTTTCTTGTTCTAGCTTAATCGGTTCTTCAACAAATAACATTCTGGCCAATTCAGGCTCCAATGGTAATGTCCTCCACTTATTTTTCTACTTATTTGGTGGCAATGTTCTTCTTGGTTGTAGCTGGGTTTGATGCCTGCTCGGCTAGCCGGATTGATTTGGGTTCGAGGCTGTCGGCTAGAGAGAACCAAACGTTAGTCTCAGATAATGGCACATTTGCTTTAGGGTTCACTCCAACGTCGGATGAAAACGACAGACTTCAACTGGCAATTTGGTTTGCGGAGCTTCCCGGAGATCGAACCATAGTATGGTCTGCTAACAGGTAAATCATCCAAAACCTCCTTGTTTTAATCCCTTGAAAAAGCAAATTGACAAAATGAAATTTAACCAGTAGGTCTAGGTCCATCAATATTACGACGACAAATATATTTGCTCTTTGTCTTGATGTGTTTTCTTTTTCTTTTTCATTGAAACTTGATTAATAATTTTTTAACTTGTGTCCATGAAAAAGTCTTAATTAAAATGAATGAAAATGTTATGTTTGACTTACAATGATAGTGTAGTTTTTCTCATAAAGAATGAAGAACGCGTGGATTTATCTACCATGTCTGCTCGTTGTTTGCCTGCTTACCATCATCCATATGGTGGCTATGTACTTTTATATGTTGCATACTTTAACTAGTTCAAGAACAAAAAGTATCTTGAAAAATTGGTTGAAATGAACAATTTATAAATTTAAGTTGTTAAAATGATCAATTTTTGGTATGTGATCGCTATGTTGTTAATCTTTGATTTTGATCAATCATTTTGCCGAATATCTTGCATATAGAATGTTGCATATAGAGTGAATGATTAATAGACTTTGACTAAATAGAAAACAAAAATATCACAAACCAATTCTCCATCTCTAGTCTTTACATTAGCTTTTGCAGGCTACAAATTTCATTTTCTCTCAATCATCTAAATATATAGAAACTCAGCCGTCTCCAACAATGCGATCCTGGAGCTTGACACAACCGGAAACCTTGTCCTCATGGATGGAGACGCTACCACGTGGACCTCAAACACCTCCGGCGCTGATGTTGAAGGAGCAACGTTGCAAGAATCCGGAAATTTCATTATCTACGACAATGTCAACCGCCCTGTGTGGCAGAGTTTCTCACACCCATCTGACACTCTCCTCCCAAACCAACCTCTTTCAGTCTCTTTAGAGCTAACAACTTCTAAGTCCTCCTCGCATGGTGGATACTATGCACTCAAAATGATTCAACAACGCACTTCTTTAAGCCTTGCCTTGACTTACAACATGCCGGAAACTTTATACAATTCCTCCCCTGAATCATATTATAACTATTCTTATTGGAACGGACCAGACATATCAAATGTAACCGGGGATGTTGTAGCGGTTTTAGATGAAGCAGGGAGCTTTGGAATTGTGTACGGGGAGTCATCAGATGGAGCTGTATACGTGTACAAGAACGATGGCGATGATGGGGGACTATCAGCGGCATCAAACATATCAACCAGATCATTGGTTCTTCAAAGATTGATACTCGAGAGTAATGGGAATTTACGCTTGTATCGTTGGGATAATGATGTTAATGGCTCAAGGCAATGGGTTCCAGAGTGGGCTGCAGTTTCAACACCATGTGACATTGCTGGAATTTGTGGTAAGGGGATATGTAACTTGGATAGGAGTAAAACTAATGCTTCTTGCACATGTCTACCGGGGACTTATAAGGAAAATGGGGGAAGTCTTTGTTCAGAGAATTCATCACTTGCAGGAAAATGTGATTCGCGGAGTAATTATCAGCCATCCCAGTTCAGAATTTCAACGGTGCAGCAAACCAATTACTATTTTCCAGAATTTTCAGTCATAGCAAACTACAGCGATGTTGAGAATGTAACAAAATGCGGAGATATTTGTCTAGCTGATTGTGAATGTGTTGCTTCAGTTTACGGCCTTGATGACGAAAATCCATACTGCTGGGTTTTGAGAAGCATGGATTTTGGTGGCTATGAGGATCCTGGTTCAACTCTGTTTGTGAAGGTTCGGTCTAATGGCTTAGAGGGCAATGCAAAAGGATCCGGGGAGTCTTCCAAGGGGTCGGGTAATCAGCAAACAAAAGTTTTGGTTATTCCTATTGTTCTTAGCATGACCTTCCTTGTTGCCCTCCTGTGTCTTTTGCTATATTACAATGTGCATAGGAGGAGATCCTTGAAGAGAACACTGGAAAGCTCAGTAATCTTGTCTGGTGCTCCATTGAATCTTAGTTACCGCGAATTACAAATTCGTACGTGGAATTTCTCACAGCTTCTTGGAACTGGTAAGAACGGATTATATATGTAATAGTAATTTGCTATGTTCTTATACTGTTTGTTCTGTTTACAATATGCTACTTTGCAGGGGGATTTGGGAGTGTCTACAAGGGAAGCCTTGCAGATGGCACTTTGGTTGCCGTAAAAAAACTAGAAAGGGTTTTACCACATGGGGAGAAGGAGTTCATAACTGAAGTGAACACCATTGGTTCCATGCATCACATGAACTTGGTTCGTCTATGCGGGTACTGCTCCGAGAGCTCACAACGGTAAGCAATAACTCTGAGAAACCTAAAGGCTTCTCACCAAATTAACAATTGTGTATGCATAGCTTCTTAAAACGTTTGTAGCCAATGACACATGGTCTTCTGAATTCTAGTAAACATTCTTAAGATGCTACATTTGATCGATCTAAAAACTGAACATATTTTCTTGTGCTGGCAGGCTTTTAGTTTATGAGTTCATGAAAAATGGGTCGCTGGACAAATGGATATTTCGCTCAAACTATTCCCGAGACAAGTTGCTAGATTGGCAATCACGGTTTGATATAGCCGTGGGTACTGCACAAGGGATTGCATATTTTCATGAGCAATGCCGAGATCGAATTATACATTGTGACATCAAACCAGAAAACATTCTGCTAGATGAAAATTTCTGTCCTAAAGTTTCCGATTTTGGACTAGCTAAGTTGATGGGAAGAGAGCACTCACAGGTTGTTACCATGGTCAGAGGAACAAGAGGCTATTTGGCTCCAGAGTGGGTGAGTAACCGGCCTATAACTGTTAAGGCTGATGTTTATAGTTACGGCATGCTTCTTCTAGAGATTGTTGGCGGTCGAAGAAACCTTGACATGTCATTTGATGCAGATGACTTTTTCTATCCTGGATGGGCTTTTAAGGTATAACAGAAAATTTATTATAATTTTTTTTTCTTGCGCAAAATTTTTGTCAACATTAAAATCTTGCGGAAACTTTTGTTTTATGAAATGAATTTTAATCATGATTGTAGGAGATGACAAGTGGAAATCCCATGAAAGTTGCAGACAGGAGACTCGAAGGAGCGGTGGAAGAAGAAGAACTCATTAGAGCCTTGAAAGTTGCCTTTTGGTGCATCCAAGATGAGATATTCATGAGACCAACAATGGGGGAAGTAGTGAGAATGTTGGAAGGATCAGTCGGCATCAACATGCCACCGATGCCCCAAACGGTTTTGGAGTTAATTGAGGAAGGCCTGGATCATGTGTACAAGGCAATGAAGAGAGAATTCAATCACTTCAGCTCCTTCACCATCAAGAACCATCCTTCTTCATCTCAAGCTACGTGCAGTTACTCCACAATGTCCCCTAGATAGTCGACTAGAAATCGGGTTATGACGGACCATATTTGGTCAGTCTTGTACGATCCTCACAAGCTCAATTATAATTCATCAAAGTTGACATCCAATTACTGCGTTAAGTCATTCTTTTACTCATGATCATACCATTCATTCATAAAAACCTAGGAAATTAATAGTAGTGACATTGCATAAACTCAATCGATATAGACTGGCAGATACATACTTATGTAGTCCCTTTTGTTCTTCAAATAGTAAACATATTGAAATTTTAGACATGACTCTTGATGGAGGAGCTGTATCCATCAAGATCATCATAATACTTGGACCAAAGCATGACACCTCCATACTTAGCCGAGTTTTTAATAGCCGGAAGGACTTGTGAGTTGAGATCAGAAGCAGGAATAAAACCGCTACCGGCAGCCTGAGGTGCAGCAGGCAACCCCAAGAAAATCTTATGTGCAGGGATGGCTGAAGTCCACTGCTTCCAAGCGTCCTCCAGATTGGCCACATCGCCGGAAGTGTACTGACAGGGTGGGTTGTTGTAGAACTGAACCCAAACATTGTCAAAGAGGCCTGTCTTAAGTGCATTTCCAATCCAAGCATCAGGAAAGGGACATTGTGGGGCAGCAGTCAAGTAAACTTTCTTGCCTCTCTTGCTATATCCAGATAGGTACCTAGCAAGGTCATCCCAATATTGGTCAGTCCCTCCCTCAATATCAAAGTCAATTCCATCCAATACTGCAGCTCCCAATGGCCTCGACGACGAATGCCCTCCCAAGAAGTTGTTCCACAAGTAAGTTGCAACTTGCCTTGCATCAGCAGCTGAAGTTAGAGAGTAGCTCCCAGAAGCTCCTCCAATGGAAAGTATGACCTTAATCCCCTTGGCTTGACATGACCTGATCTCTAGGCTCAACTTGGTGCATTCATCGGTCGTTGGGTCACAGTGACCGGCTAGGTTGATGGCTGGGGTTCGGCCATTGCCGAAGGTGGTGAGAAAAGCTACGTTTACAAATTGGTAATTCCCTGTAGCACAAGTTTCCGCTAACGTGCCTTCATTCCCATTTTGACCCCAATATATAGCGATTCCACCGGCATTAGCCCCCAAAGCCAGAACTAGTGTCACTAAAGAGAGCAATGCTAGGGACATTGTGGACTTTGGAGCCATATCTTGAGAAGGGTTTATGTGTGGTTTGATTGTGGAAGTTTTGGTGGGAAATAATATGAAAGAGGTGTTGCATTATATAGAAGAAGAGACCGTAATGTGCTGCTGGTGACAATTTTGTTATATTCATTGATGCGTGGCATTGAAGTTACGTTTGCCCTTTCTTTGTAGTATTGCTAATTATTTTCTAGTCTTACATTGAAGCACGCTTGAGCTGATATGGTATGTATTCATTGTCCTTATGCACTTTGTCAGTTGCATTGCAAATAAAAGGAAAATGGTGAGACAACAATTATCTTCCAAAAATTATTTACAACTACTTGTGAATGCTATTATATTTATGGGGAAAAATCCATGGCACCACTTTTTTTACGTAATTTTTTACAGACGTTTGGAGCTCACACTTAATGTATTTTAACGATCCAAACAATATATTTTTATAACATAGATTATCCTAGCTAAAATTAGACAAGTTGAAAACTATTGAGACATTCATTTGTAATGTAGAAGGTCGAATACGATTTTACAAAGAAACCATAAACTCTTAATTCAACGATCATATGATTTTAAATTTGGGCAAATTTGATAGGCATGATCTTTGTTTAACCAATCAAGGAGTGGATTGGTACACACTTGTCCGCATGTACTCCAAAACAAAAGTCCTGTGGATAGGGAGAGACGAACGCTGCAAAATATGTGCCTTATAAAATATTAAGATAAATATATATACTTGACCGATCACGCTCACATTAAGGTTATTATAGACCGTGACCCTTTTTATCCTTTGGATCTTCGGACCCCTTTCTTTCATAACACCATATTTTAGATCAATCAACCGTTAGATTTTGAAGTGTACGTAAGCCATATACAACAATGCGTATAATGACATTGATCTTTGCTGATTTCCATGTGTGTGTGTGTGTATTCAATAATGCTCAACAGACACATAAAATTGATCAACAATGTGATCAATTTTGTGGTTTACTCGTAGTGTTGATTTTTAGAAATTACAAAGTCTACGTAGTGTGCATATATGTAATTATAAGCTAACTACGTCCTTTTTATGATGCAGGTGTGCCAACTCGCAATCGAGCTCGGTCGGATAAGTAGAATGGATATGGTGGTAGTGGCGAATGCGTTATGGTCAAGAAAGGCACACGTATTGGCCTTGGGTTCTAGAACTTGAAGACAAAGGTTGCCTAAATCACTGTAAAGTTTAGGATCTCTTGTCAGGCTCGGCTGTCTCGACTATTTCATTAGAATATAAATGCGCTAAATCGATTTCAAATTGTAAGGACACAAGTAATAAAAAAAGATGAGGTTTTTTTTACGGTGAACATGATTCGGCCGTTTGAATATTGAACTACAAAATGCATTTGAGAGTAACCAATCATAGAACACTCCACTTCGCTGGTAAGCTAATGAAGTGACCTCTTTCGGTGAATAAATTGAAAACCCTTCACCGGCCGAGACTTGGATAGATAACTAGTCGACTAGAAGCAGTGTTGTTAGTCCAAACTGAAGGTGCTTCTTGATCGCTTGGTTCTACTACTCTAGTGTTGTTAGTCCAAATTAAAGATGTTGTTGGTTGTCAACACAGTGTTCTTAGTCCAAACTGAAGATGTGTTGACGGGATGTGTTGATGGGTGAGTTATGATAGTTAGTGTTTTTCTCAACATTGTGAGAACGGTTTCGCGTAGAGCGTTTTGAGTTGTGAAGTTGAAGGGGCTTCTCTATGTTGCAAATCCCCTATATTTATCCTTGATGCCTAAGTCTACCGAGTGGTAAAGTTCTGATAATATTCCAATTCTTCGACGTATTCTCTGGATATACTTGGAATTATTCTCGACCGAAACTTCATCATCATGCTTCGCCTTCTTTTACTCAAACCAAGATTTTGAATCTAGTCCTATTATACTATTAATTGAAACTCCATCTAAAAGTCAATCCTGATCCTCAAGCGCTTTAAGATAATTGCCAATAACCCATGAGATAATACTATCAAAACCATTAAATATCTAAAAAAGTTATTATAAATCATCAACTTTCTTTTAATCTGACGGCTCGAAACCAATGGGCCGAGCGCAAAATCAGATACAAACACATAATCCGTGAAAAGAGGACGATCCACTTGGGCATGGTCATGACTACTGGAACTCAGCCCAAACAAAGTAACATGCCAGAGCCCAAATATCCCTCTCAAGTCAAACGGCCATGGTTTGAAAAAGTCAGAAGAAAATCACGACTTTGATTAAACTAACCAGAAGAAAACCAGGTTACGACATTGACTCACATTGAGGAAGTTACATGGCAATGAACTTGCAATTTCTCCGAAAGCACAGTCGAAGGGGCTATATATACAATCGTGTAATGCAAAAGTACTTCTGAGTTATTATATATTAGAGTTTAATTTAGAAGCACTTTAAATATCCCTCGTACATAATTAACCATGGAGTTAGAAGAGCTAGAAAAAAGCTTCAAGGAGTTGAAGGTCATCAACAGAAAGCAAGAAAAACGCGTCTGTTACCACGAGACAAGAGCTTGTAATTTAACCATCGGTTATCTTCTATTGCAAGCCCTATTTTTCCTAGGGTTTTCATCACGGCCTCCGCCGAACGGTTCGGATTCCGGTTACAGTTGCCAATGGTGGGTGCCCTTCAGCATGATACTGGTTTCTTCAGTAATATTCTTCATGGCCTTCCTAGACGCCGTGACAATGTTCTACCGGGTGCAGTATCATTTGGATGTCAACTATTTGGAGCAAGATCTCATATACAAGAAGATACAGGAGGCTAAGCAGCCACCCCCTAAGAGCCATGTGTCCATACAATTAAAGGAGTGTCATACCCCTGGTGAAGTTATCAAAGTTGATGTTTTTCATCTCTTGAAGCGCAAAGTTTACATTTACGTCACAACTTTGAGTTTGCTTGCTCTCACAGGACTTCAGTTGTATGTGTGCCGGTTGTTTTTCCACGCAGTATGACGACGTTCAGCCACTCTCATTTTCTTCTTCTTCCTTCTTCTCTGCAGTTCTGCTTCGTCGATCACCATCGGAGAAGAAGGCAAGGATGTTGAGGAGAAGGAGAGAGAGAGAAAGTTGAAGAGGAAGAGTGATCTCAGAATCATAATTTTACGTGAACAACTGAAATTATTTGGTCCATAGGATCTAGATAAAAAGAATCTGGAGGGGATCCTGTTCCATAGCAAGAGGGATAGACTTCTCTCTTTGACGCAGCAAAGAGAAATAAGTTTTCTCCACAAGAAACTGCTTTGAAGTTTCTTGCATCTTGGCATTTTCCTTTTCTCGTGATTTTTGTTAGACTTTTGTAGTTTTGTTGAGTTTGTGGACTTTTACTGAAGTTGATAGGCTTTACGGTGTTAGAGAATAATTGGTACATATAATCATATACCAAAATTGTCGACAAATGTGTCGATTTTGTATGTTCAAATAATTTTATTAAACTTTTTATCGTTCTATAAATTATAATTGATAAACTTTGGCAGAATCCAAAAGATAGAAATATTGTAAGCTATATGTCTAGTTTTGAAAATGTTATTAGATGTCTAAGCTAGCCTTTCTCCACTTCTTCGTCTCTCATTTTTTTAACTAGAGAAGACACATGATGACTTTTCGAAATTGCAAACAACTTGATTATTATATACACGAAGTTTGAACAAATTTTTTATTTGAAACAAAAAAAAAATGAACATCAAGAAGTGAGACTCCAAAAATGGAGGAATCGGTATATAATCAGGGATATTATCCCGAATTATAGTTAGTATCTTGCTTGTCTCATATCACTTGTAAGAATAATACGTCTAATTTCACGCAAGAATATGCCCTTGCAAGGTCCTCCCAATTAGAAATGGCCCAATTAACTACGTTTGGGCTCAACGCAACAAATTTGGGCTTCAACAACCACAATGATAAAAGTAGCAATAATTTAAGCGCCAAACTCACTCCACCTTCCCACCTTCCACCCTTCTCAACCTGGACTGGAAAGCTGAATCGAACTCCCCTCCTCTCCTCTGACTGTAATATACAAATCCCATCCGGTTCCTCTGCAATTCCGCAAGGTAAAATCTTTCCTTCCCCCAATTCCTGAAATTTCAATTTCTGCAAACCCTAAATCCCTTTAAACCCTCATTCCCTTCTTATTATTATGCTTCCAACTTGATACCAATTACCACATAAATACAATCATGAACTGAGTTTAAGGATTTCCTGATCACCCTTTTAGTTTCGGGCAACATGTAATGTAAAACTAATCAAAATTGAGTTTTTTTCAACTAAAAGTTTAATTCTTTGTAAAAAAATCAGTGAAAAATGCGACATTTCAGTATCCCACTTAGTGGGATAAGGCTTTGTTGTTGTTGTTGTTGTTTGAAGAACAGTGATAAGTAGTGAAAGATGCACCTTTTAGTATTTGTTATATGATCCATGTGAGACATGGATGTGTAATAACCTGGTATACAAGTTAAGGTGAATATATGTGTTTGTAGACATAGCTGGGGAAGATGGAGAATATGCGGTATGCTGAGGAGCTTGCGAGGGAGTTTCTTGTGTTTAGAGGATTCACGAACACTTTGCAAGCTTTCGATTCTGAATTATCTACTGATATCGGTAAAGGGTTTCAAGTAGATAGGATAATGGAATTAATCTTCTCAGTGTATGTACCTAAGTTTCAGGCAGAAAAATTAGTTGGTCTATTCAGTTTTTTCAAGCAGTGTCTCTCTTCATCATCGGAGACAGTACTTTTGACTACTCTTTCGAATCTGGAGGTGTCTATTCTACGCTACTACGTTGTTAATGCCATCCAGTCAGGGAGGAGAGACAAAGTTTTAGAGTTCTTTGGAATGATTGGGAATGATTTGTTGCAAAGGGGCCAGGATTGGACTGCATGGTTTGGTGGGTTTGTCGTTTTGTCTTTCTATTTTTGTATAGTGATCTACTGTCTTTTGTTGATTTACCTTTTTATATGTGTGATGCAGCCATTCCATATGTAAAGAAACCAAACTCTGATCCTGAGTTTCGTATATACTTTTCAAAGGAATGGTATGAGGCCTTGCGTTTATCTGTAAGAAATTTCTTTAGTGAGATCTTCAATGGTACTCATATCCTTCAGAATTTGGCTAATTTCATTTTTATTTATGTTGTCTTTTGAGAGTGGGCTGTTCGTTGAGCTTGGTACTTGTTGTCACATGGCACCCAACTACGTAGACTTTCGATATTATGATAATTTGAATTTCTCAGCTACCATATGGAAACCAGTTTTGTTTATATCAACCTTG